GTAAACAATTATTAATAGTTGCCGTAGCAAGGAATTCTTGCTGAATCAGGAAAGACAATTGTGTAACGTGGATACCCATACTATTTCTCGCGTTTTGCGGGAGTGACGCGGCTGCATTGTTCTTCGAGGACGTGACTTCCTCGTGCCTTTGTAGCTTCGCTCGCACCGCGCCTCACACGTGCTGCGCCTCACACGCGCCATTCGATGCGGCTTTCGTTTGCAATTCTCGTTACGTCGCTGGTAAAACAATCGCAGGTTTTCCGATAAGCTCGATCGGCTCAATGCGAAACGTGACTGTGATAACTATCTGCATTTTACGCTGTCCTACATCTCATCCTTGTCCTTCGTTGAGATAGTCGCGAGGTGAATTCTTGAATCCATTATCCGGTCCGGACTAATAGTGGAGAGGCGAACGACCTTTCGAACGGAAGTATATAATCCATGCTGAAAGGGAAAAGTAGCTTCTCGGAAAAAATATTAACGTGCGAGATTTATCTAATTTGCAATTAAATATTATTTAAATTATCAGTGAGTTAGTCACTACACGATGCTCATTAGTTGGAGATTAAGAAAATATAAACGAATCTCTCAATTGCGCCATTGGATGATTCCTGAAAGGCCGTATGTTCATGTTACAGAATGATTTATCGTATTCGATTATCCAACATTTCTAATGGTAATTAACTACGCTCATTAAGAGATAACGTACTTTATTGAAGTTATCTTTATTAGCAGCAATACTCATCGCGAGGAAATCGGAATGCGAAGAAAAATGTATGAACAAACATCTACAAAGACTACAAAGACACCTGATTATTATATATTATATACCGATTGTATATATTATATATAATACTTTATTACATTGTTGTTAAAAATTTATAACCGTGACTATGAAATTAAGACATTGGGACAAGATATTCGTTTAACTTCACAGTTTATTGCACTTTGTAATTTATTTCAATTGTATTATCGGGAATGTACTCTATGCTCTCTGATATACAGCATCCATTTGTTTCATCCTTTGCACCTGCTTTCTGGTTGGTTGCTTCTTGTAGTTGTTATCTTATTATTGTTACCACTAAATAGGGTCAAGTATGATAATTGAGACCCCGAGGTTAATGGAATAATAAAATAATTCTTCAGTGATAACATCAATTTAATCAGTTTTTACTTCAACATTTTTATTAAATTCACTTTCCTAGATAAAATTTATTGTTTCCATGACTTCTTATCAAACAACAGCGAAATATATATAAAATGTTGAAAAATTCACAAGTAAATACGTTTCCAGTGGAAGTACAAGCGTTTACTTCATTATATCTTTCTCCTTGTCCCTTACATCCTGTTGCGTCTCGGCCCTTATTTATCGGAAGACACGTCGCCAACAGCCGAAAGTCTCCGATCGCCAATCCGACGGAGTGAAGAGGGCGGAGAGGAGGAGAGGGGAGGAAGAAGGGAGAAACGATCCTGCTGTTCCTGTTTCTGCGGTTCGAGCACCCGGGACTGGGTGTGTGCGCTCGGAATGCGTTGAAACATTGCGGGTACGAGAGCGGCGGGATTAAATCTTGATGCATTGCCGTTATCCACGCGTGAATTTTTGCGCGCGGGCATTAGAGCCCTGGCGAAAAAGTTATCAATTTATTGCACGCGCGGCGTCGATACGCGATAGGGCTCGCGCGCAACCCCCCCGGCGAATTATTAATTGCCGGCCCGATCGCAATTGTTGTTCCAAACGAGTTCCCGCGTCCTCGCAGTTGTTTGCGTTGTATAACTTCGCTTATCGCGATCGGCTGCCACGGTGTCGTTAGGTGTATCTTAAAAGCGTTGTTGCCTCCACTCTCTCTTTCTCTCTCCTGCGCGCGCGTGCGCGCGCGCGCGCACGACGCTTATATAATTCATTAATAATTTATTAATAAAACTTCCATTTTTATATCAGCGTCCTTGTGTCTTTCCCGCGAATCTCCTCCTCTCCCGTCTCTTGTTAAATCTGATATTTCTTCTTGTCGTGCAATTTATTTTAAGATAATCCTACAATTTTAATCAGTTATCAGTTACGACGAAAGATTGGAGGCCACTGACGTTCGCATTCCTTGCCGATATTTCCACGTGCCGTCGATTTTTTGAACCAGTTTCAAGCGGAATCCGACGTGTACGTTTATCCGATCGACTCGCCGTAACGTAAGCAACTAACGTATATCCTATTGTTCGCATTGCGATTACGTGATGTCACTCCGCATGTTATTTTAAGCTTATCCATTCATGCCGCGTATTTTTATGAAAGACCTCTGGCGTGGATGATGGTTGAACGACGGAAGGTTACCGCGTGTCTAGGCTAAGTTGTAGCCGCTGGACAATAATTGGCGCACGCATGATATTTATAATACTTCAGACGGAGAGGATAAGAGTCTAGTTTAACAGGCGGAACTGATGTTTCCGTGCCGAACGCGGCACGCTGTTGCATCGACTATAACTTTATGTAACCGTGCATAATGCACATTATTGCGCTAAATTATTTATTCGCCATCGTGCGAATGTTTATCGTGCATGATATGGATACTGCAGGAAGTACAAGCATGCAAATACATTCCTGTATTTTGCCAATTAAATGTCATGCAATAGCAAGTCGCAACCCAATGCGATGTACTCTGTACATTGTACGTATTATCATCATGTTGCAAGCTACCGTTATTTTCGAGGCGTTAGCGTGTGGATATCAAAAAACGTGAATATCAAATTCAGATTTTATTTTGAATGTTTTGCAATGCCTTCAGCTAAACAATGATAATATCCAAGAATCTATAATTTACAAAATATTCATTCTACACGAAACGTTTCTGCAGATTTTGTTTTTAAAATATGTAATTTATTTTTATTAATTTAAGTTTTACATATCATTTAATGCAACTTTTCTAATTATTGTTTGAAATAAAAATGAAAATGAATGAAATAAAATTGAAAAATGAAATTGAATTACTTTAAATAAAAATTAACTTTTTGACATTCACATTTTTAAATGATTTGCACAAAAGAGATCTAATGTTTAATAATTCTTATTAACTATCTATTGATAAATAGAATTTGTAAATAACGTGCATTGTACAGAAAGATAAATTTTTTGCAATAACTGAGCATTGATATGTCGATCGCTGCAAATACTTCTATGTTTACCTGAGCCGTACATGATATTAATACGCGTGAGTTGAAAGATACTTCTTTACGTAAACGCATAACAGTCGCACAATTTCCGTTCGGACGAACAAGCATTCGAGCAACAATAAACGCTATTAAATTATACGCGCATAATGTCATATGTTGCGGACCGCCACAGGATATGGCTCGCAAAGTCTTGCCCAACGGCGACCACGATTCTCTTCGTTCGCTATCGTATACCTGTCATCGCACACGTAGACAAAGCATCCGCCACTAATCGAGGACCGCTAAGCCGCCTTTCTTCTTCGACGAGCAGTTCGCCTCGCGAACGAAAGACTAACGACTGTTGCGAGATCCTCTTCCTCGAATAACGTCGGAGCATTTAGGACTCGTCGTGTCCTTGCCGAACACTTACATGCGGATCTTTGTCTCGGCTCTTTGGAGCCCTGGGCGATGCTGCTCGAAACGGTAAAATTGTTTCAGCCTCAGTAGATTTAATACACGAAGTTTCTTGATATTAATTTCGACAAAAAAATTATCATTTTTTTAAGAATTTTGAGATGTTTTTTTTTTAATGTTGATTTTTATTATTTATTTTTTTAATTGATTTTTAATTGATTTTTAGTATTTGAAATTTCTAATAACTCGTACCACGACAATCTTTAATAATTTAATAATAATGAAGCTGAATTACACGTTTGCTTTTTGTAACCTTGGTTTATTAAAAAAATTGGAAATTTAATTCAGTAGATAACGTAAATTAGACATCTTATTGCAAATGGCGTTATATTTTTAGTACAGCATTTGTAATTCTCAGGTGTTCCATATGCAGTATACGATCAACAGTAAAAATTTACATTTTTAATTATATATTTAATAAGTTAACCATGAAATTAATGCAATGTCGTCACTTTCATTACGCCATAATAGTCCTATCTATATGCACTCGGCGATTTATATCAATGCGAGATTAATATCAAGATTGTGTCGTGCATATATGTCTGATCGCGCGTTCCTGACAGTACGAACAGCGCGTTATCCGCGTTACAAAGCGGTCCAACCGCATGAAATTGAAAGTTAGCGTGGGCTGATAGCTACCGCCCAGACCGGTCCAAGTTTACTCGTACATTAAGTCCGGCCCGAGGAAATATCATTGGCCTGCGTTCGTCGAGTGCTCCTTAGCGGGATAGTGACGGGGGTGGAAATTGCTCCGAGTCTCGTACGAGTCTGATATTATGCGAAAACAGCCTGGCGAACAGCGTTACAAAGAATGCAGATACTCGCCTCGTTTCGCGATCGATATAGTGATTCGAAGTAAAAGGGAATTCGCGTATTTTTGTGGTTTTTGCAAAGAAAGCTGATGAGTTAAGGACACTTGGCCGAACGCCTCGCTGGCAAATGGAATTCCACGACAGTAAAAATGACAGGCGAATTCCGACAGGTTTTACCTTCGCAACGGAGAATATATGGCCGAAGTTCGTTGGTAGTGTATATTCTTACGTCCAAGTTGACACATTAAGACCCGGTTAGCTGTCGAACTGAGACCGTCTTTCTCAATCGGCATTATAGTTATGGCCATGATCTGGAATGGAATCGGCGATCGCCAGCCGGAGTTAGTTAACCAACGATGCTATTGGGGCGCAGTACTGACCCTGATTTAAATATTTACGAAGGCGGAGTGGACTTGGCGATGATGTTCCTCGGGCACGAATCGTTAACGCGGAGAACGTGTCGAGGAAATTTCACGATCGTACTGAAGAGCGCACTTGCTCTAGAATGCAATAATTGGCTCCGCTCGTTCGGAGCTCCGAGTGCCAGGTCTAATTCCCGTTCTTGTCTGATTGCAGGTCGCCGGACAATTATTGGACACGGAGTTCCAGCCGACGGTGACGGCGACGTGCAAGGGCGGTTACATGACGATTCGCGTCAATCTCAATCAGAGTTTCGTAGGCGCGATCCATGCTCGGGACCATCGAACCCCGCAGTGCATGGTATCGGGCAATGGCACGACACACGCCACTCTGGGCATCAATCTGTTCGCGTCGCAGGACAGTCCCGAGTATTGCGGAGTTCTCGTGAACAACGTAAGTTGTTCACTTATATGATTATGGAAATCGTATGCAAAAAGGCGACGGAATCGTGGCACGGAAACTAACGTCGGTTACATTTAAGATCTACAAAAAATTGATTTGTTTGACAATTTTATCTTATAACATGTGTAGGACAAGCTTTTTAAGTAATTTTAAAAAGTTAACTTATTACACGAGAACACATACAAAATAATGGACTTTCGAAATACATTATGTTTTATATAATTCGTGGAAACGCGGAGAAATTAGTACTCACATCTATTTACATGAGAGGTTCCAGAAAATTAATTGTTTTGAGAAGGCTGCGGATACGCTGATTTATGCGTACCCAGTCACTGAAAATGCCTTAAAAATAACGTGAGACTCCATCATATATGCAGATTACAATTTGCATTTGAATTCTTATCCTTCCGTCTAGATATTTGTTCTGTAAATGTAACGCTTCGTAACCAAACACTTGAAGTTTTCTCACAGATACAATTTTCGTACAATTGAATTTACAAAAGTTCTCGTAAATTTATTAATGGTATGCAAAAGTCAAAATAAATTTTAAACGGAAAATGATGAATTATTTTGGGTGTAATATGCAAGATTTTATATTCTATTATTCTTAATGGTAATTCTCTATTATGATAATATTACAGCACACGGAAGAACGTTCCATTCCTATCGCAGTTAGAATACACAAAACGCTAGAGCTAGCAGATGACAAGTTTTATGTTATTACATGTGGAAAAGCGGGCTTCAAAAATGCCAAGTAAGTTTAAAATTAATTATAAAATGTTGATATAATGCACAAACTACAATTAATACTACAGTGTTAATTATTACAAATTTTTGACAGCGGAATATAGAATAATAATTTAAGGAATGAGGAATGAGAATTTTTGTAATTTAAATATTTGACAATTATTTTCTAATTTGTATGTATGTAATATATTATTACATGTTTCAACATATAGCATTTGTAGTTTCCGTATAAGTAAATCAGTAAATTGTCAGAATAGCGGAACAAACTGTGCTGATGTTGTACTTCGATTTATTTTATTTATGGACTCTTCATAGTGCTATCGTAAATAATCGACATACGGTAGATTTTACCAAATGTACGAGAAATAGAAATATCTCGCACCAGTGGTTGCTTGACACGCGTGAATAGCGTTATCTAAACGGGAAATACCATTCGCAAGCCTTTAATCGATCATTAGTGGTTTCGCGTTTCCTAATTGATCATTGATATTTACCATTTGGAATCATTCAGCCATATATTTCCACTTTTGCGTCATGTTGATTTTACATAGAGAGAGATATTTCAATTTAGAATAATCAATTCAAAATATCGCAAATGTGCTTTGCACGATACCAATGCCACAAGTTTCAATATGTGTGTTCAATATTTTCTTAAAGAAATATCAAATAATAGAATATTATTATTAAGTAATATATTATATAAAATATCACAATAATATTATTATCTAATAATGTAAATAGTATTAAGGACAAGATCTTTTAAATTTGTTGTACAATTTAACATGAAGATAATATTACAAAACTCTGGCTAAAAATACCAAATGCGGCAGATTAGTATTCAATAGCCATATATTATATTTTAAGAGTTAAAAGATAACTTAAAAACTAAAAGATAATTCGTGCATTGAAATATATACTATTATTGTCTAAATACACGTTGGTTAGACCAAACAAAAAATAGGCTTCCTGGATAATGACAAAGTTTATTGGGCATTCAGGAATTAGATAAGCGGAGCGAATCAGTAATTAACATTCTCGTGACGTTACGATTTACCGCAAATCTTTTTCTTATTCTGTAATGAAAAATGCGACTGGCAATTGGTATGCGATTGTTGTCAAATGAGATATCCCGCAAATGATAAGTACCTGCTTCGTCGGAATAACGTTATATATCTTCTGAATAAATTTTCTTGGTTCTTCTTTAGAAATCAATACACATGACTTTGCACAATTCGTTGATTTTATTATTGCATACGCATCATTATATGAATTGACTCGTTGACATACTTTTTTATTTTTTATTTTTATACACTTTTCCAATCGTAATTTTGATTATCGCTTGTAACTACGATTCTAATGATAATATATGTTACAAGACGTATAAGAAATGAAATTCATTCTCACAAAATAATCTTTTTTGCGCAGAAATGAAACTTCGCTGGTTTCCCTGCGCCTTTTGGACGAAGACGTCAGAGTACAAGAAGCTATATACGGTCACAATTATACGCTGCGTGCCGAGATTTCACGCCCAGACGGTTCGTATCTTATATCCCATTCCATCATTTGTTTTTACGTCCAGACGATATGGACAAATCCGTTAGCTGCGGTTTCTTCGTGAGATCTTATCTGAAGAACTGTTTCAGCATTTAAACATTCAACTGTTTAAACATTCAATTTGCAGGAATGTACGGGATCCGTGTCAAGAACTGCTTTGCGTTCAACAAGCTCAATTCCAGTGTGCAACTTTTAGATGACAAAGGGTAAGTACATGATTTACATTAACATTTTGATTGGTGCATTTTGGATTAAGGATATTTTAACAAATTTATATATTATTTTATTTGATTTCGTATATATTTATATATGCTATGAATAAATATTAGATATTTGAATAGCAATATAAATATAAAAATATTCATATATTTAACGCAATATGATAGCATGTTGAATACTGCAACTTTTAGTTTCTCTTAATAATAATTTTAACATTAATATATGAATAAAAAATGAAATAGTTTTCTTTAAAAGTCCATCCTATTGAGTAATATTTTCATTAAGATTTTGATCCAATTATCAAGATTTTTATTATGTAAAACGAGAATTCACGCTTTTGCTTTTTAGTTTCCTTTGTCAAAACGGATTTTTCTCGCAAATACCAAAATGCTAAGAGAAAGTTTAAATTAATTCTATTTAATCAATGTAGTTAAAAAAGATTAAAAGAACGATGAGCAATTTGCTATTAATATAGTTTATAACGTTACTTTAGCAATTGAAATAATTTACTAATTATAATTTATTTTGATTGCAAAGCTGTCCTGTGAAAGTGCGAATGACGAAATTCATATACGATCGAAGTACCGGTATAGCGGATGCTACATTGTTTTCAATGTTCCGGTTTGCTGATAGTTCAGAGGTGCATTTCCAATGTGACATCGCCGTGTGCAGAGGTAAACTCATCCGGTGAATGATTTCCCATTAGCATCTCGTTACGAATGTGGGTTATAAAATGGCATTCAACTTTTACGATTCGTTGTTTTGTTGCGACATTACAGCAGATAGCGATTTCTCATACATTTTATGAGGAATTGCTTTTTTACGTCCCGAATCATAAAAGTTACGATCCTTTTACAATAAAAGATTTGACAATCAGCATCACGCTGATTACGTTTTAGTGTCATTCTGAATATAAAATTGCATACGATAAATGCTTCAAAAGTATAATTCTGCTTTTTGCCTTTGTTTTTTTATAAATTATTAATTTTTTGCGAATTTAAACTTGATCAGAATTTTTTGTTGTAATATAATGTAAATTAAATTTTCCATTCTTAGGAAGCTGTGGTACTCCCATATGCGAAGGAGATAAAGAAGAATTAATAAAGGATGTCTCCTCGACTAACGGACAAAGCGTTAGTAGTGAAGAAGGAGTGCTACTTGCTGGAACAAGTGTTTTTGTTCTTCAACCAGGGGAAAAACGAGGTAAGCCAACTGTATTATCAACAAATTAACTATTATATTATCTCTATTACACTTATTGCTTTTATTATCATTAACTTGTTATCATTAACGAATAAAGAAAATGGAAAATTAATTTTCAATTAATAAAATTCATCTCTTATTTTGATCTGGATTTGATTTTTTGTAATCTCTCTTTTTTTTCTTTTTAAATTTTTTTATCCAGTAACAAATTTTTTAAATACGGAATACATTATACATTACATGATACATTACAAATGACAAATAGTTCCACAGTTAACGAAGAAATATTTAATGTTAGAAAGTACTAAGTGAAAGTGTATATTCTTTTAATTTTTTTAAGGAAAACTTGCGCTTTTTTAACCGGAACCTGTTTTATAAGCAAAGATTGCAATTTGATAAAGGAAATGACTGAACATTAGATTAACATTCGACTTCAAGTGTCTTGCAGTCTGTAGTTAATTTTGATATGCTGTCGTGACATGAAAAGTATGCGACCATGCTGAGAATACGTGCGGTCTTCTTCTTTCTTTGTCTTTTTATTGCTTCTCTTGTATATGTCCCATTTATGTCTTCTTCCCCTGCGTCACAAAATGGTTACCTCCCGTCTTTCTTCATCATCCTGACCTGCATTTGAATCGCTTCGACACGCAACTTACCCAAAGGCTGTCATCAAATTATAATGTGTACTTAACTTGGCATAAGTGATCTTATTCCGCTTATCACACTTTGTGTCTTTTGGAATTTTTCCATCCAACATCCAGAGTTACAATTTTCACAACCAGTCATCAACGATGTTCTCGTGAACTAATATCGTTAAATTTATTATGTTTGATAAAATAGAACTGAGTATTTTTTTATCTCGCGGTTTTAAAATCATTTGAATCGATTAACTTTAAAAACATTATCATAAGAGGAATTTATTATCGAAACATTGTTATATTAAACATTTTCACTTGTCTCTTAATTATCTTCTTTGACTTACTTAAATAGAATATTCGTTTTATTAGATAATACTATTTGAATAAATGCTATTTTTACACGATATTGTAATCAAAGGCGTTTCTATTATAACACATGTACAAATTTACAAATACACGAACATCTATCGATACGAAAATTACATATTTCCTCACGTTTGCAGTTGTACAAACATTGTACGATGACGGCACCGTGCATCCGCTGTGGCTCCTGTGGCTGGCGGTGGCACTCGGGATATTATTCCTCATCATGCTCATTATCAATATATTCCTGTGTTCGGCGATGACCTGTAGCTGCACCCGGACCGACATTATCGAGAAGGAGCCGTCAATCATTGAGGATTACGATCCGTACCGCAGCTGGCACGGTTCTCAATACGGGTCGAGGTTTGACTTAATTACCTCTCTAAAGCGAATCGCGTGACTCGCCGACAAAGTATCTCTATTAATTGCATCAATAATATATGATATGATGCATCATATAACCATCGTATGCCATCCATCGCGTACCATAACGCTCACTTAAGTGGCTCGAATCGATTATTGATAAGCTAATGAAATCGCTGTCAGATTAAATGTGATAACTGGCGATGTGGTAACTGATTCATATATTTATATACTTTTTTTTATAAATTAATTGCATTTGACATAATCTGAGGTCGTACAATCGAGAAATCTTAAGCCTAAATTGCTCTCGGGCGAAAGTAAGAGATACATTGATCGAAAATCTTTTAAGTAAAATCGTAATTTAAGCGTAGCAAAGTCACGATGATGGTAATTAATATCTCGGATTGTACATCATGACACATGCGATGGCGTGCCTGAACAAGATCCTTCTTATGTTCAGGTATTCGTTAAATGGAAAGCAAGGATACGCCTCCGGGGGATCAACCATGAATTCCACGAGATCGATATCGACGAACAGCGATCATTATGCGATAGTGCATTCCCGACCAGGAAGTAGATACTCCGGTCCTGGACAAAAACATCATCATCATCACAGAGGACCGCCGTCCAATATCGGTTCACATTATTCCGGGAAGTGATGTTCTCGTTAGCTTCATTTATCAAAAACTAGAACTCCATCGTTTTCACATTAACGTTACTCTAAACTTAAACACAAATTTTATATATATATGCATCGCTATGGCATTACTTCAATCGCACGAATGACAGGCATTCGGTTCAACCGTAAAACTGCTAGTGCAATCTTAGGAGAATTTCAAGTATTATATAAGAATTAGAAAATATTGAATATAATGTCGAACGATGTGTTAACATTTTCTTGATCACTAATCAGGAAATCAATTATATTTACCGTACTTGAGCTAACATACTTTGAAAAAACTAACTAATATCAAAATAGCAGAAATTAATAAAGTGAGACGGGATTAAAAAAGTGTCAACAGATCAAGTTTGATATTATATAATGATTGTTAATTTATCTTTTATGACGAAAATTTTGCAGCGAATGACGGAATTTGTATAATGTCGATTGAATATTATATATGTTTTATTATGTTTTTCTTACGGAGATCTTTTTATACTCTTGCACTTGTTAATAATATCAACATAATGACATATCTTGATAAATTCTAAAAACGCGGAATTAAATACGTTAACAAATTTTTTTATGAATAAGCACGATTCACACGTCGATATTTTTATATTTAGCTTTATCATTAAAGTAAAATGATTCTCCGTGCTAGACTGCGTATGTATCATAATATAATAGTCATAAGCATAGACATTAGAATTTACAAAATTGCGCATTGATCTTAAATAAGATATATCTTAAATAAGATATATTAGATAAATGCTTTTTGTACATAAATTCATCAATCTAAAAATACATGTGCTTCTTATTTCTATCAAACATTACCTTCATTATATATCTGAACGATGCGAAATGTAATGTGACAGTTGGAAATTTCTCATATAATTATTCGCAATCCTTATATTTTTATGCATACTATTATTCCTAATCAATTTTGTTTCATGATTTATTCAAACTAATTTTTTGTTAGTAATCATGATTTATTACATAGACTGTATTTCAAAATTTACTATTAATGCTGCTAATGTATACTATACGTTATGTGAGCTATAGATTTGCAGTACTGGCAGTGAATTTTGGAACACAACTCTAGTCACTAGTATAAATTTATTAATTTTTTTTATGATACAGATGACGAGTATATAATGCTTGTTCGTGCATAAAATTATAATTTCTACGGTGACAATAATAATGTTGCTCGAAATGAAAGTATCACTATTAATACTAATAATTATAATTCTTGTTACGAATTGCATCTCATTTTTATGTCCTCATTTTGTCAGAAATATTTCTTTCTACTTTCATATCCTACTATCCTATTATGACTATCCTATTATGACTTATTAATTTACCTTCTTATTTTAGTAGGATGGACTACAACTACGACATAAGAGTTGTTACATCTTCTTTGCAAAATATGCTTATTATACTCACTCAGCGAAGTACAGTAGTTAGTAAAGTACAGTAAAGTACAGTAGTTAGTTGAATTCCTTAAGAACAGCTTAGAGTCTTTATGTGAAAATTGAGAGATAAGCGAATTTTCTTTAAAAGAAATTGAATGCCTTGTGTGATATATATCTGCAATAGAAGTAATAAATTAATAAATAATATTTTGAAAAACGATTTATTATTAAAAATACATTTTTATAGTAAAATACGATTAAATAATCCGCATTAGTAGGTTTGCATGTGCCCCTACATGTATACGAATATATAACTCTCGCTTAAATTTTATATTATAAAACACGAAAACTCATATGCTTATGCGGATGGTAACTGACAATATTTATACGGGTTTAATTACACGGAAATGGGGAAAAAACTGATATTACTAGCTACGGGAATACTGGACAATTTTCAGTATTACAATATTTACAACAATCAATATATCTGCTCGAAGAGTTGATAAATGATAATAATCAATTTTAATTAATTAATAATGCTTAACAATGATTAATTTTTGTTATTGCAACGCTTTTAAAATTACAGATTTTCGAATTAGATAACAATTTACTTAGAAGGAATATAAAATTTACTTAGAAAACAATTTGCATGAATATTTAAGATAAAATGTTTAATTTGGATTTTTATTTTTAGAAACTATTATTAAAAATTACTCTAAATGCATGAAAAATTTCTATAGTAAAAATGAGAACAACTTAAGGATTGCACATCAAGGAATAAACATTTAATTTATAAAATAATCAATATTATTTTACATATAGCTATTTAGCTACCTTTAAAAATTTAATTAATATTTAATTATCACCATCCTATGTATGACATTTTCAAATAATAAAATTGACCATTATTGCTTTTCCATAACCTTATAATATCTAATAATTAATTATTGTTTTAATCATAATTAATTACTCATCATTGAAAGCGTCATGTATCGATGTTGAAATTAACCTGATTAGCCTTAATGTACATAACAATACGTATATTATGATTATCCCTGTACTGAAGATGAATTAGCTCAATTTAATTATCCTGCATTCCTCATTGCCTGTAAATGATGAATCATGATTGATCGTCGACGATGAAATTTCGCTGTTCACCGTTGCATAAGTGAATTTCCAACAAATTCGCTCACGAGAAAACGCAGAATCAACATATGCTCGTAGCACATTTAATTTAATTTAACGGCAGGTACGTTTCTCCTTGATATCTCTTTCAAATTATTTCCTACTAAAAGTAAAAAGATTATAGTTTAAAAACAGCGTATATTTGCTATCCCACAAAGCCGTTTTAACCGAATCTAGTCAAATAGATCGACGTACTGCCACAGTCTCTGAAGTCGACTGCTTTGACTCAAGATACATCTTTCGCTCTCACATCGTGGATTCGCGTCGGCTTTTGTACGATCTCTAAATCATGCTTCTTAATTCCAAGAATGTTCTCCTTTGCCGAGATGAGAAAGCGAACGGCCGACTTGAGAAAGTAACAACAGACATTCTGCATAATTCGATAGTTTAATGTAAAAGGATTACATTTTATAAAAAAAAATATAATTTTTTAGTTGATATTTTTGCACTAACAAATAGAAGATTTGATGTATACGCGATGTAAGATTATATATTTCTTGACATTCCAACTACTACGTTTTATGAAAAAATATCGTTATGTTAAATGGCTACATTATTTTTTTCTATATTCCTTTATTTTTATAATAAATGAAAAATAGATTTTTCTTCTCTTAGCAATACCAACTAAAAAATTAAATAATCCACACTTACATCTCTTTCGCATCAAGCCATCGAGTTACATGATATTAACAAATTATTCCACGTTTACGCTATTGAGTGTTTCGTGTCTCGGTGATCCTGACGTATTTAACGAAATATGTATGAGGAATTTTATCTATACAGATATAAGGCACGACACACGCACGTGTGCGATTATCTCGTGTATCTAAGTGTAATGTCTCTACATCTGTATACTGTATATATGACCGAACAATGTAAGCGTTAATTGTGAGTTGCGCATAAACGTATTTTCCATAGAAAATGGAGGCACCATGAATAAACGTACAGTACTATTGTTGCGCCGTATGCATAGCGCGATATACTAATGATAACGTATCAGCCTGTATCTACGCGTGTCTTTAAGACAGATCAATTCGGGATGTTGCCGGATTTCGAAAGTTAACAACATAAACAAAGAGTGAAAAAAATAAATAGCGTCTTAATATATCGATATATGCTGAGAAGAACGCTAATCATTAGTGATACGGTTAGTGATACGGTTTTAGACAATATGTTTGAAATGTATAATTTCGTTAATCACGCCGACGTTATTTCGATACTTTGAATAATTCGATGTAATTTTAGGCCAACAGAAGAAAAACAAAACGCGCAATTTCCGGCTGTTCGCGGCACAAGCGCGAATTCACTTTCTAACTAAGAGGCTGTTTTAGAAGTCTGAATCTGTCGAGGGAAACTCATCATCAAACTCGCAATTACGATCAATCGCATCGTTAAGTTCTTCCTCTCAAAGTTATTATATTTTCTCTAGTTTCAAATAATGAACAAGGTAAAGCATTTGATGATGTAATCAAAAATGCAAAAATGGTTAAAATAATAAGTCAATCAATGAAAATAGAATCGAATAATCTGTAGTTAATAAAGAGTCAAATATTATTAGTTTAAATAAATGTTGATCTAAAGGAAAAATTAATTTTATTTTTATAAGTAATCTTTTTAAAGGATGTAGCAATATTAAATAAGTTTGAAAATGGATTCCGTGATCGTACAGATCCAGCCTGCTGGAAGGGCGTTTATCCTAGTGATAATCCACCGCTCGAATCATCATCACGATTTTTCAGCGATGCCCTTCTTACGCTATTTACCCCGTTACTCCCACATTAATATCTCGTTAAGTATAGTGACTATTTCTACATTATTTACAGAGCGTTACAAATGTTAGTCGATAACATTTGTACGTTTCCAGCTGAGATGCTTCACTCGCCACATCAGGATTTGCGGGCTCGCAGTATTACGAGTACGGCCTAAAAATCCAGATATTTTTGAACCGTTGTCTAAAGAATATTTTTCGCGATATGTTTTATAGAGCGAAATAGATGGTTATAAACTGAATTTTACGTGAAATGCGAACGACTGCGAGTTTTCCGACAAGAAAGGATAACAAGGAGGACGCGTAGCATAAATGACAGTGATGGGTGAAGCATCTGGAACACAATAAATTATCAACTACCGCTAACGTTACCTTTCAACGTTAGAGTCATCTCTGAGAACATTCATCGTTTCGCGACGCCCAGCGGGACGTCAGTCGCCTTTTGTTAACCCGTTGCCTCGCGAGCCATTTCGACATCTGACTTTGTCTTCTTTACACTCAGCCATTCTCGTGAGGCAACAGATTGACATCCGTTGGATTCTCTATTCGATTGAACGCCGTTTCGAGCCGAGAGTACAGCTCTCGAGAACAGCCGACGAGGTTGGCGTAGTTGGGAAAAAAAAATCAATATTACAGACTCGCTACTTTACAGAAATATGCTACAAGTATTGTATGGACTTTGGAGCGTCACTCCCTCTCAGTTTTTGAGCTCGTCGCTCATGCATCAGATTGCGTATCAGTGGAATCCGCTTAAAGATAGCGGTGGTGTGATGGGTGGCAAATGGTCACCGCAGGTCGGGAAGTTCGGCGGTATCGGCGGCAGATCCCCGTGCGTTCCCACGTGCAGAATCAGGTTCATGCCAATCAGTATGTGGAACAAAAAGTGGCAATGGAATAGCCAGTATCCTATAAAAAAAGCTCGATATTAATTTCCGCCGACGTAAACGTTAATAAATGTTAACCACGATAGTTATTTTACACTGCACCAGCTTATGATGATAAAATTTATAGTAATAACTACTTTCAATGAATTCCTGTAAAAATTTTAATTGTTAGAAATTTGCAGTATTATAATAATTGATCTTATCGTATTAATAATACGATATTAATCTCGCGTTAACATCGCGAGCATACAGCATTTTAAATTAAAATAAATCTTGATGTTTTTTTTTATATAATATATGATTTTAAAGATATTACTTGTTTTATTAAAATGCGTAACCGGTTTTTGTTCGACAAAAATGATTTGCTTGCAGAAATATAGAATAATTTCTAAAATCGTCATGTAGTATACAAATTGGCATTAAATAGAGTATAATTAACGAAATATACAATAGAAGTAGGTTAGTACAAATGTATTATGAAAACTTTTGCAATTATGCAGCAACTACAAATGGAGGCCGTTTGCATCTCATTGAGCTATCGCGCGAGAAGTTGTTGTTGTTAAACTTACCTGGATTGTCCGCGCGGAAACGGAAGATGACATAACCATTGTTGGGAACAGCGATAGTGTCCTTAGCGGGGGGTAAGTTAAACTGTCTGTGCAGAAGACCTCGCTTATCGAGATCGAGGGCGTGTTTCAAATTGATTTTCTTTACGTTCCTGTCGGGAGAACGCCCAATACCAACCACATTAAACGCGTATCCGTGCAAGTGGAAGGGATGAGACAGATTGGGTTGTTGTACTGTAAAAAAAATAGAAAATTAAGTAACAAGTAAGATTAAAACAAGTTGTTTTAGTATTAAAAAAATTACATTGTAATATGTAAAAAAATATAGGAAAATATAGAATAAAAATTATAAGATTAAAAACTTTAATAGTTTCTTTAAATGCAGTTTCTTTGAAGTATTTTTCTCGTGATGCAGGAATAGTTTGCGTTTGAAGAGAGCGGACGTAGCAATCATAGCAAATAACGGCGTACACACCTTCGTCTACGAGAACCACCTCGACGATTGCGTTATGTGGTATGTCGACCTGATGCGTGCACATGCAATTGGCGCCGCAATCAGCCGGTCTGTTATCACCGTTACAGAATTGTTCAGGTGGGATGTCATCGATCTGCGAGAGCGGAGGCGCCGGCGGGAACGTAAACGAGATCTCATCCACGAGAGAAATCACGTGATCGCCGGTCGGCGCAACTATAGATATATCAAGATTGCATAGTGAATCGCTATTATTTCTTACGTGTTAAATAAATATTTAATAAAGTAATCCTGAAGTGAAGGAAAAAGTTGAAAGTTGTAAAAGACTTTACAATTGTTTTTATTTGTTATTAACAGAAAAATTTAAATTAATAAAAAAATATATGCAATAAAAGCACCAGTGCAGTAGTTGAAACACCTTATTTCAATACTACAAACACTTGTGGCAGTTTGCACTTGAAGTGGTTTGCACTTTATCAATCTTACATCATCGAATCTAAGTGTCTCGAAGAAAGAATCGCGGCACTTATAGCAAATTTCGCGAAATACCTAGCTGAGTATCCTGCATAATACTTGTAGTTTCAGGAATCATCGAAGATGAACATGCAACGTGTAGAGATTGCATCCCTTTTGAAGTATATCTTTCTAAGAACACCCGAGAAGTGCCGTGTCTGTGCCAAGCGAAAATCAAACGCAATCATCGCATGACGCGTTTGTTTCCTTTTTGCGAATTAAAACAGCTATTAGCGTTTCCTTACCGAGGAAGCGATTGTAGGTCTGCGGCTGGAAGACCTCTTCTGGTCTGTAGAACAGGAAGCGGAACGGTAGGAAGATCTTCACGTCAGGGCGTTGCTGCAGGATACCCTGATCGATGTGGCGGGCGTTTTTCAATTGGCTCACGCAAATCGCATCCTCGCGCGGTCGGTTGCAAATAGCATCCAGAGGATTCAGGACCTGAAGAAAAAAGATTTGAAAATTTCCCCCTTGTCACTTGAGTTTTATTGATTTAAAAAAAGTTTTGATGTTTAACAATTTTATTAATTTAAAAGAAGTTTAACAGCCAAGAACTCTATTAATCTAACCAGTTAACTATTTTCTAATTTTACATTATATGCAATTCACTTTTAATATCGATGTATTTAATTTAAAACACATAATATAAAAATTTATTATTTCTTCATTTATGATTAATTCTTTTAAAGATGTGTTTCAACTTATAATTTGTAACATTTTAATTTTACAATTATAAACACCATTTTTTAATTTTTGAAAAGATTATTTTTAATTTAAAGTTACTTTTAATTTTTCTCCATTGTAATATTTCTAAACGTTTCACACATTTTTCCTTTCATAGCTAATGTGGATTGGGTAGCTTTCTATTATATCGTTTGAAGATAAGATTCCTTTATCTATTGTTATATTTCATTCATATATAAATCACATTAAAATCAATATTTTAATTGCAACATACTTTAAATAAATTTAAATAAAAAAATTATTTTAAGAACTGAGTACAAGTTTCTTCTACTTGTCGCATTCGTACAGATGGCAGTGTATGTTAAAATAAAATTTCATAAACTCTAAAAAAATTGGATGCATTTTAATAAAATGTTTAATAAAATTTAATCTTACTTTTAATTTAATTCGATGTTTTTTTATAATTTTTTATAGAAAAGTAAATATATACTTACAATGCCCTGTGGTAGACCGAAGTCATACGTAGGTGGTGCGGTAGATGGTTGATAAGGACCGCGAGCATATCGCAAGATAGCTAACTGTTGGGCTCGTGGGATTCCGCATTCTCCAAGCGAACGAAGTTGGATCCAATAAGCACCAGCAGGTTGATCGGCATTTATGACGAAATCATAACGTTCACCTGTTGAGGAAATATAAACATATAAATGACACTTGTCATAGAAATTAGTAGAATCATTTGACATTTTAATCAGCATTGTTAAAAATACTATTAAGATTGATTGTGTCTAATAGAATATTATTATACAAATAATTTTGTTTTTGATAAATTTTTAAATTAACCAAATTGATTATTTGCTAAAGGATATTTTATTATGTAGTTTGTATATTTTATATATATTTTATCTTTTTTTATACATTTTTTGTAAAATTAGTTTTAATATCAAAAAGTTAATACTTTTAATAGAAAATTTTTTCTTGTTTTGTTTCATAAATAATTTATTTAATAATTGTTTAATATTAAAATTTGTAATAAATTTGAATTATATATTGTTTTACCTGAGAATGAAATTATAGTGTTCACTTGTACTGGATGAACTGCTTCACCATCGGTAGCAATAACTGTGAGAGTATGACCCTCGATCGTGATTTGGGAGGGGCATACTGATCCATACGAATTGATCAATCGGAATCGATATCGACGGCCTGGAGTTATTGTGAATACTTCCAAAGGCGTATTTGTCATAAAACCGGTGTTAGGATCCTATAATAAAAAATACAAGTTAACAAAAAAAGCATTGAAAATTAAAAAATATCAATTTATGATATCTAATAATTTTGTGTAATTATATAAATATTAATTTTTATTAACAATTTCATTTATCTTTAAAAATATAAATATACTTTATAAAGATTTTTATTATACCTTATAAATTGGAATGTTTAATAATATTAGATATTTTTTGTTATTTAAAATTAATTAATGTCATGACGTACCCTAAATTGACCTTTTCCATTAATCAGCACGCTTTCAGGTGCTTGACCGGTATTAACTGCAAGGCGGCCAGGATAACGCTCAACAGCGCTCTCATGGAACCAATCACTGATGAGTATCACATGTGTGGTTAAATCATAGTCGTACAGATTGCTATTAGGGTCCTTGCTCGGTGGCTGTCGGATTACTATGCTTCCATAAAGACCATCTATCTTTTGCATGCCAGTGTGAGCATGCCAAAAATGTGTACCTTCATTTCCGGCTATCCATTGATATCTTTATACATATATAATATAAACATTTTATTTTATAAATCACATATAAAATGATTATATAAATTTTATAATATACATCTATAATTAGGATATATTATAAAACATGTTTAAAACTGAAAAGTTTAGTTATTTTGAAAGACAATCACAAAAATATATTATTGTTCGATAATATAATCTAATTATAAATCCTGGGCATGTTTCTTCCTAAGAATCTAGATAAAAAGAGGGTGAGTCTTATAAGCTTAGAATATAATACTAAACTGAGACTGACAACTTAATTTCGAAACTAGCGGGAAATCATAGGAAAATTCTTAGATTTAGTTGATGTTAGGAACTACTCATTAGTCCTGCTCGTTTTCGCATATTATTATTATAACCAATTATCATATCTATATCATTTTAAACAGAGGCATCTGTTATATGTCCTTACCTTATCTTCGAATATCAAATAAAGTTTTCAATTTATTAAATCATGATAAATTTAATAAAACATAGTTAATTAGGTAACTCTAAAGAAAAAAAGCTTTACATAAGAAAATAACTAAAGATTAGTTTTTTTTTCTGTAAGAAATATAAGTTTTATTTTTATTACGTTAAAAGAATAAGATTGCGTACCTGAACGTGTTACCCTCTTGAATAGGACACTGTGTCACGTAAGGTACACCATCGTAATACGGAGTTCCTCTTTGCCACACGCCGTGCCAGTGAATCGTGGCTTCCATTCCTTCCATATGATTTTCTACGTCCACAACGACTTTGTCACCCTGGCACACTTGAATGCTCGGTCCAGGGATCATCCTGTTTGCGGTCAAGATACCTCGCTCTACTCCATCCGCCAAGACACACTGACAGTCGCTCCATATGGTGTTGGTTGCATTTGGTGTGCATACCTGACACGCTCTGAAAATTTATTGCAAGTTTACACAATATTTATTAAGAAAGTTAGGCAATCACTTTGTACAAAATTAGAACTATATATATAATCACATGAGAGCTCGATTTCAATTATTTTCCGCTAACAAAAATTATTACTGTTCTGCAAGAGTTGATTTCTTCTCAGGCGAAAAAAGTATTTCTATAAGAATTATTTCGTTATTTTGAAGATCACAATGACGAGTGATGTTACTAAATAAAGTAATGTTGTAATAAATTTTTATAAATTATAAATAATTATAAAGTATAAATAATTAAAATATAAATATTTTAATAAATTTTGATTTACTAAAGCGAGGCAACATTAATCTGGCTTTGCAGTTTTTATTTTTACAGTCGTTTTGAGCATACATTCTGCATATACTCACGCGCCAAGTACGGTGTAATATTCAAGTGTGAAGTGATAATAGCATATTCTAGGGGGCTCATTTTCACGGCAGGCTCGAGCGCACTCATCGGGTGATGAGAGTGATGGATTTCGGCGCAATTCGGCGGTAGCGCGCTCATTATAATCGAGAGGTCGTGTCCTCGGTGGCCTCATCGTTACTCCCCGACTACCAAGATTGTCAATTCCGCCGAAACCACTACGAAACACACCACTGGTTGGATGAGTTTGCACCAAGCCATGGGCTGTTGGGAAAAAAGTTGCGCTGTTGTCCTGAGAGAAGACATCAGTTTTGAGAGTTGGACTCCAGAAGGAAGACGACACTGACTGATCCGCGGCTGTTGATTGATCTGCAACAAATATATAAATTGTAGATAAAAACGAAAGCTTGTAAAATTGTTTAGTAGTCAATTAAAATAGAAGAAATTAAATATCTGTTTAGGGATTAATAAGCAGGCCAGCCCAAAATTCGTGAATTGTAAAAATGTATCTTATATACATGTGAAAGTTATATATTTGTATAGATCACTTTTTACAAGATTATTTAATCTTGAGCTTTGATTCATTTAAAGATTGCGAGATAAAAATAATACAGATGTTTTAGCAAACATCACAAAGAAATAAATGTCAAAGTCTTTTAAATATTTTCTTAATTATCTGTAATTGCAGAACATTACATTTAAAAAATTTCATTTATTTTTTAAATTTAATAATAACTTGCAATAAGCATTTGATTATTTACTTGTTTTATAGATATTAATTTCACTTAATTTCAAGAAACAAGTTTTCCAGAAAAATAAGAAGCAAGACATAAAGAAAATAGAATTCATATTTCGCCATTTATTTTTTTTTAGTGACAAACTGGATTTCCAACTTACGAAATAGTAAGTTGTTACTCATGAATTTTGTAGGATCGAGTGTGATGTATCATTATTTTGTCGTAAATTACGAATGGTGTCGTAACTCTATCATTACGAGTTCTCTTTCTGCTTCTATTCCGGCATCAATCAATCGTGCAAGTGTAATGCAGAAGAAACAGGAAAAGTTTGACTATTGTAATTTTAGCTTGTTACGTTTATAATAAACACGTTTACAGTTTCATTTTCTAGCAATTCATAAGGAGCCACATCAAAATTGAAACAACCAAGTTGAATCTTCTTAGAAAATCGCAAATCTAAATCTGGGAAGTTGTAGCCTTGTAAATACGATTTGGATTCATGTATTTATGCATTTGTGGTTGATCGGTCATAGCTCAGAAAATCGGAACATTATCGTCCGCAGAGCGGAAATAATTTTCGAGTAGAGTAGAAAGCTAAGTTTTTCACAAGATTGTCAGAATCAGATTAGGTTTAATAAGTGCATTTGAATACGTGAAAGTTCGATGAAGTTCAGACATTCTTGTGCAGATATAAATGGCATTCTTGTTTAGAGAGGTACACTAATCCCGAGCGTAATTTAAGAGATCTTATAAGGAAATCTTATGCATCTTCTTAATCTCAAATGAATGATTCGTACCCGCTCACAATGTTTTAAAGTTTTTGTAGGCTTTAAATATTCTTATATTTGTTAGTTGTAAATAAGTATATAAAATTGTACTTTTAAATCTTATACCAAGTAATTTTTATTGTTTAAAAATATAAAAGCGTATTTTTCCACAATTAATAAATTAAAAATTTATTTGTCCTACCGAACTAAAAAATTATCTATCATCTCCCACAAATACAGTTTTTATAATTATGTTTGGAATTTAATTTTCTATGTAAGATAACTCAGGATAATATAATTACTTTCAGAATATCTATATTAATTCATTATTGCATAACGATCAGATTAGCTTCTTCGATACGGAATTCCATGATATATATCGAAACAAAAAAGAGAAAACTACTCGTGCATTGTAGTCACGTTTAAAGGCAAAGGCATGCTGCGATAGAATGCGCTATTAGTAAAGATCAGCCGGCGCTGTTTGAGATTTATCTTGCGGAATTTTTCAAGTATGACGTCTAATATTTCATGCTTTATTCCGGTTGATTCTAAGGTTTATTCGGATAAATGAACGCAATTCGATAATATTCTATTTTATACGATGTAAAAGATATAGAATTGTATGCTTTTTGCAGTATTAATTATTACAATGTATTAATTTTTAATTACAAATACGTTAATTTTACATTTACTTTTTAAACTTTACATTTCCAATTTATCCATAATAGAGATTATATCTTTTTTGAAAAATATCTTTTTTGAATATCAAACATATTTTAATTGTAATGTAACGCACTTTGTATTACATTACAATGCAAAAATTATGTACTTGTGAATTGATGTTGCAAATACATGACCTTCGTCAGCGGAAAAGAAAAGAGTGTTTTCCAATCATTGCAACAAGAAACTCAACGCGATTACTACCGGAACAACTTTGTGCTAACTTCTGTTCTTTTGCACATTGTAGTGACACCGACATCTCCTTTCGTTCTTATACTCAAGCGAAACTATTCTCTTAGACATTTTTTTCGAATTACTTTCTTTTGTCGTAACGATTTCGCAGTTTTCTTTTTGAGATCGTCAGTGAAACGTGAAAAGTTTTTACGATATCAAGAACGCATCACTGACATATTTATATGTGTACAATGAATGCTTGTTTAAAAACGAAATTTACGAACTCAAAGAAAAGGATAAAATATTTAAATAACGTTTTTGATATAATAATAATTGAATAATAAAAATATTTAAATAGTAATTTCTTTAAACAATTTAGGGTTACTTAGATTACTTAGAATTAAGTTTTGACTTACATATATAATAACATAAAGTAATAAAATCTTATGTTTTAATTCCTATTATTTAAAGATGTTTCTTCTATTTAAAGAAGTTCTTAATTTCAGGAAATAATACTTTAAATCTAGTTAAAATTACTCGTATTACATAAATTACTATAATTTACTTATAATTACTATAATTACAGATAATTTACAGATTTTTTTTTATATTTTGCATCATTTGTCTGTTCTTGATGATTGACAAACTACTTTAAGCTACTGTGATTTTACTGTGATTCATTTTGCAATTACGATGATTTAATGCAAGCGATTGATTCTCCACTCGTGTTTCGAATCCCGTGAAATTGCACCGGAGCACAAATGTGCGCCGTATGCTCGTTAATCCTTTTTTTCCATCGAAATCGTTACGTGTTATACGACGAGTGACGTAACGGGCACGTATTGAGCTACAAATTCCCGCGATCGAATTGGCTCGACGTCAATCTGGTAGACGTCGAAGTTGGAGCGGTATTTTCTGGTCGTATCGCCGGTTATAACGTACTAGGAGAAATACTATTCCGACTGCCGAATGATTTATACCCCGATGAAAGTCGTGGTGCGCACCACCGTGCTGTAGCCGCGTTTCGCCATTGCAGTGCGTAATACCGATTCTACGAAATATATCCGTAAATTGACGAAATAACAATATATTATAGTCCAGTAGTAAGTTACGCCCGTTTGTCAATGTAAAAATTTTTCGTACAATAATTATAGGCTAGCTCTATAATTGCGTCGCATGTTATCAAGATATATTATTTATCAAATCATACACGTCGATTATGTTTAATCTACATTCACAAATGGAATGCGAAATACGGGGTTTGTAACTTGAAATAACAGTGGACATAAAAATTATTATTCTACAATCACTATACAGAAATAATTTTTTTAGTACGTAAAAATTATATACAATTTTTTATATATACAACACATAATATTTTAATTTTATAAATAGGCGGCATATATAGTTAAAAATTTGATATTAAGAAAAATATGTTCATATTTTGACATAAATTCGGCGCTGAATTTTTTGAATGTAAAGCAACATTTTTTTAAGTTTTTCATAATATTCAAAGGGAATTTAAATAGAGGAATTAAGGGAATTAAAATAAAAGATTCACAGATCTCTATCGTGGAAAGTCTACTTGCGCGTCCGATAGGAACCGTCACGTGGATGCCCGACGTGACGATGACAATGAGGCGATGAGGCAATGTCGCGTTAGGTCGGTCGCGTCATTTAGAGCGAATGCATAATGCGAGCGTGTAATGACTCGCCCTCACGACTCGTTGTTCGTTATACCGGGCGAGATGGGTGACGGGGCTGTCGTAAGACGACTCGCCGTAAGCGCGAAGTCGCGGTTGTGCAAGGAAAAAAAACAATGAATTAAGTAAGACAAAATCGCGCTTTCACGCTGCCCCGCCGTTCCTTTCGCGCGGCAATTAATTCGCCACACCGCTATTTTTACCGCCTGCCACAATTGTTCGACCAGTTTCCGAGTAACAGTACATCTTGAGGCACGACCGATGCTTTCGCGATTGTCCCTACTCGTTGCTGATCTAACGAACGACTTCTGCACACCGCGATCTAATATTCTATGTTTTAATATATTTACTCTTACATAATATCGTAAGACTGATCGAGTGCGAATAAGCGAAATAATCGACGATTAAGTTGCAAATTTTTTAAATCAAAATATCCGTTTTGTGAAGCACAAATATCGTCTTATTGAAATTAACTATCAGGCTTTAACAAAAAATGCACTTTCGAAAAGTTAATTATATCTATTTTACTGTAACAGGAGGTTCTTGTGAAAGAATATTGGTCGTCTAACTCAACGTCGAACTCGTGAAATGCAATTGCACAAAACAAACATATGGCATTGCAAGATATACACGCGTAACATATAATTTACATAATTTTCTTTTCCGCGTGCTTTGGTAATTAGCATGATTTTTCTTTATATTTGTGTCAGAAAAATAGTTCAAAAAATTGATGAAAGCATTCGAAGAAAATCTATTAAATTCGTAACAATTAACGTATAAGTATCTGAATTCACATCTATCAATATTATATCTTCTATCTATCATCATATCTATCTGTTTTTATGTTAGAAACAATTCGCACATTGTTACAGAAATTATTTTATAAATATCTTGTTTTTATAATCTGAGCTATAAAGATAATTTAATTAAAGATAATAATTTTCTTAAATATAATTCAAAGATTTAAAAATCCATTCATTTTTTTTTAAATTTAAATGTTACATCTTCAATATCAAATTTCTTTGAATTTTATATGCAATAATACATCTCATCCCAAATTGTTACTTTCTCTTTCAATTTCTTGCAATATTTCTTGCATATTCAATTTTCAACAGTATAAAGGAACCATCATTTGAGTTTACGGAATTAAAGAATTGCCTCTTTAGCAGAAGCTGCGGCTCGTTTACGATTGGTTGATTGGCACGCGATCGCGCGTGTCTGGGCAGCCGCACTTTCTTAAGTCACTTCACGTCTCCTTCCCTTTCTTT